GCAGCATTCCACTCCGCAGCCTCTCCTGGCGAAGCCGTGGGCTCGCCCGTGCTGCCCTTGGGCCCGACGATGTGGTACCCGCCCGACGTGTCTATCGCCCGGTCGAGCTTCTCCTCCTCGGAAACCTCAGTAGCATCCCACTCCCCCGCCTCTTCTGGCGAAGCCGTGGGGTCGTCCATGCAGCCCCTCCCCCCGATAACGTGGTACCCACCTAGCACTGCATTCATCGTTCTACCGGGCCCCCGCTCGTTCGAAAATCCGGCAATTGTCCCCTACTTTGCCTTTCCTGAAACCGGAGGACCGATCCCCGTCAACCAAATAACTCAGCCCGTGGCGCCATACAATCCCCATCAGGTGTCGCATCTGAATGGCTTTAATCTGTTCGCTGCGCCCGGCCAGCCTCCCGTGTCGAGCATGTCAGGCGGCCTACAATACGGGTATTCACCTGAGAATCACCAGCGGCAGGCGCAATCTTCATCGTGGACACTGCAGTCGACACCACCTGCCGACCTGTCTAGTCATGCGCCTCCCGTCTGGGGCGACAACGGGTCCGTCTATGGCGGTGGCCCATGGTTCAACCAAGATCGGTTATTGGCTGATGTGTATTAATAGTGTACGATAATTGTCAATGGCGTCTCATGATCTGTTGTAAATTGAATGCAACCTTACTTTCCAGTCTTCTCGCAATATATTTACTTCATCCCATTTTCCGTCAATGACCGCCGATCGCGGGCCACACATGCATTCATTCACCGTTCGAACTCTCAAGAACTACTGTAGACATCAGATCTGACATGTATCTGGCATGGGTTCTCAACATCTAGAGGGGAAATTCCATATTAAAGATGACCTCCGACCACAACGTGATCGTGTATCGACGCCCCGAAGATGGCGTACAAGATAATGGACGACCCATCGCGAGTACCCAGCAGATGAGCAGACTGTCTTGATCCATCTCAGATTCCACGCATCGTGTGATCATTAGACAAGGAAATACAGCATAGGTATCGGAGAAATGAGAGTACGGTACAAGAAACAGCCTGGGGATTATATACACTCACTCGTTGGCGTTAGCCAATTCGATCAATTTGGCCGCGAGACCGAGTGACACGTCCCTGAGCGCCTCCAAGGACCACTTTTTCGCAGACACACAGTATACGGATGCTATCCGCATTCCGTCGTCCATGCCCTGATATAAAGTAGAAATCTAATGGTAGTCAGTGTGTATGACCATGACATGTAATCGAAACTCACCCATGCGGAAGTGATAGGTCCCTAGTGAGGATGCTAAGTGGGCAAGCCCTGGCTTTCCGATGCAGCACTTACCAGACGATCCCAAACGGACGGTTGATAAATGACCACAGCACCAGCGAATGCAAACAAACAGGCGCAGATGGCGTATACGTGTAGGGCAATGAATGCCAGCGTTGTTTCAACGCTCTCCTGGAGATAAAGCCACTGGTGAAAGAATGGCCAAGTCAACTGTGTGTGCAGAGGAAGAACGCGATTAACTCACATCGAACGCGTTCATATACCGAATGAAGACAGCACCGAGCCGTCGATCTGACAACAGGATGATTCGCAAAGAGTATCACGATCGGTGGCAATATCTCACCTTGTTGAGTGGCGAACAGAATGATCTGGTTCTGCTTCGCGCTCACATCCGAATTGATGACGCTAGCCAGGTATCCAACTTCCCGAGTGGTTTGGGCCTGCGCGCGGAGTCAGCATGGCATGATGGAATGAGCATGGTCTGGGATGGACTTACAGCAATTAACTGGGTCGTGAAGACTGGCTCGCCGCGTTAAGTCGAATGAACTATCTTTAGATTGACACGAGACGCACCACCCTCGACTGAGCGCAGTTCTTGCTGGAGGACGCCTTTCATGTCCCATATCCTGACTACACCTTCTGCAGATCCACAGGCCAAAGCGCCACCATCTAGAAGTATAGCGACAGACGCTGGTGAGACGCTGTCGGCTTCGGCTTGTTGATAGACAACGGTAACACGTGGTCGTCGGTCGGTGTCTCTGAGGTTATACAACTCGGCCTTGCCTCCCATCAGGGAAACAAAGACGAGACGAAAATCCCGAGACACAGCCGTGAATCCGCTGAAACACTGTCAGATGGACCCATGGCGTAAACTGTGCACTGACATGGCGCGAGGCTCGGGGAAGATCTGCCAAAGGGTAGTTTCCTTTTCGACATCCCAGCATCTACACGGCACGGTTAGCAGTCCGTTCGCCAGATCGTAATGAGAGGACGTACACGATCCCATGCACCAGATAAGACACAATCAGCCTCCCGGCGCCGCGTTCAAGATGAACAGCCCTCGGTCGTACATATTGGCCGTGAACGTGCGGGTGGTTATGCGGGCGGGGAAGCACGCGCGTAGTTACATAATCCCCTGTTCTATGAGCGCGACGCTAGGAGGGAGCAAGTGCAAGCACTCACCGGAGCTACCAGTTGCCATGGCCATATGAACCTCTGGCCCCACGGCCAAAGCAAGGGCGCGGGTGTCATTGTCCAGATCCATACTATTAATCACATTGAATGTCCCCGTCTTGATCCCAAAGGTTTGATCTTCCTGCTTTGATTCAGTTCATGTACGAGGCCATCAACGCTAGTCAATTGCTTCGACTTACTTTGAGAAAATCTGGGATGAAGAAGCCAAAGCCACGAGCTCCGCCAACGAAGAGCGTGCGAAGGCCGAAGGACGCCCACAGCAGCGATGCGATAGCATCGGCATCGCGAAATGTAGCCATTTTGTCGCCGGAATGCACATTCCATACCACGACGTTGCCTCCCTCATCGCCGGTAGCCAAATAAGCACCAGTCGGAGAAAAGGCGATACTGATGATATCGGAGTCATGTTCCGATCCGGCCTTCACAACCCGTAATTGTGAGTATACAAGCATGAGAAGGTGGACGCAAGAGGACAGAACTGCGAGGTAGGTGCGCGATGGATAGACCGCGCAACTTATAGGCCTCCGAGGCCCGACTGGCGATCGCGAAGCGCGCCTCTGCCAATTGCTTTGTTCTTTCTTCCCACGAATGCATCCTCATGACGCATGCGAGCCGCGTGCATCGATGCCGCATGATGCCGGCTATCGGGACGAGCACATTACGGGAAGCGGTCCGTGGAGGTATGATCCTCTACACACTCCCCCTTGTTTCAGTGATTCATCCATACATTCAGCTACCTACACAGTAAGCCAATGTACGAGTCACGACGTATTCAGCTAAGTAAAAACATCAGCAAGACATCTTTTTGCATACGATCAACCTCGGCTCACATATTATGAGGATACGCGGCACGAACAGGGCGCTGCTTGGCCGGGTGGCGAAGGCTATGCCTGCAATGACCAACGCACAAGAAAAGAGAGCGTAGACAATGAACGATTGTGCAAGGGGCCGTGTCTGAATGAGTAGTCAGTACCTCGGTCTATCGATTCTCCAGGATGACGCAGACTGGCGGATCACCGACCTCAGTACTCCAGACGGACACAGTGGGCAGTGTCGCATAGCTTGATCCGGCGATTAGCCTTACGCCGTCCAACTGTATGCCGCACTGGGAGGGTCGGTCAGCACGACATATCGATGCAGATGAGATGTCGCACGCAGAGAGCTTGTAACCCGGGACGCTTCCCCCCGAGATGAACATCGCCTATCTTGATCAGAGCGTGATCAAGGTCGACTGAAGCATTCTTACCAGGACTGTGTTCTAGAGACCATACGGGTAGCTCATTGTCCGACAAAAGGTCCCAACAGACGACTTGGCCAAGGTCTGAACCACACAATGCGCGTCGTCCATCGCGAGCGGAGCATACTCTTCGCAGGAACATACTGCGAACGGGGTTGGAGAACCGTAGAGTGCCTTGAACGCGCAGTTGTCGATCCTCGAAGTTCAAGATCTTGACCACCATTACATCAACCGCGTAGGCTAGCAAGCGCTGTTGCTCGGAAACCCAGGCTAGACTGATTCTACCTCGAAACGAGGGTAGTCAGTGTAGGAGCGGCAAGGACAGCGAGATTGCGCACGGTTTGAATGTGA